TTTTCTATTCATCTGTAAGCTCATAGCTTGTAAACATAACCCCACCAATAAATAAACATGCAAGAGTTTATTCTGAAAACTCAAACCGGAAGTTCAGTTGATGTTTAACCTGCGGCTAAGCTAACTCCACCTGGCTGCTTGCTCCAGCTGTTTTTGTGGTCCAATACAGCGTGTGTCACCGGTAATAAGTCTCTGTAAGAAGACGGTGGACGAAGAGCGAAGTTTGAAGAATTTTTATTGCTTCCTGGACAAAATGCAGCAGTTTGTTCTTCGGCTGTCTTGCGGGACCCTTAGATGCTGCTGCTGACGGAATAACAGAAGAGCCGCCTTCTGACCCGCCTCAGGTCCGCCTGGAAGCGCTGCTGTCAGTGGCTCTGCGGCAGTGACACGGTTTCTCGTCTGGGCTTTTCAGCTGTATGTACCTCATCTCGCTAAAGGCCCGAGAGCCGCGGCTCTAGCTTGTCTCCTCTTCCTGTGTTTAGGAAGGGCCGTGAACCCTCAGCTGAATGTGGTTCATAATATCTGTGATCTAAAGCATCAGAGCTCATATTTCAGATGAGACTCAACTCTCACACCAAACACCAAAGACTTGTTGATCTCATGAACTGTTACAAGTCCTGTACCAACATGAACGATTTTTATTTTATTACTGGGCAATAAATCAAACATCAGAGTCAAAGCTGAAGGGAATATCCTCAGATCTCTTGTTTTGTTTGACTCTAATAACTCCAAATAGAACATTTCTTCCAGTTTTTCTTGAAAATAACTGAATCAGTTAAACAATGTGATGCATTATTTGAGTAACTTATTAATTAGTTAATAGTTGTGAGAGAATTACAGTAAAACCTGTGTGCGTGTGCTTTAGATGATGCCTTCCTGGGGGGATGTAATGGACAAATCGAGCCGAGTGTGTCGACCCCAGCGGATTGGCGAATCGTCTAAGGTCAGTGTTATTATTGTTAAAAATTATCGCATGGTCTGTAAAGTAGCTTCAGGTTAATCGACTAATAGTTGTAGACAGTTGTCTATCCAAAGTGCAGAGGATCTGGGGACTGTTTTCATCCCTCTGGTAAGTTGAGAAGTCAGCTCATTTCTAGCATGAGAGACAAAATCAGACAATGAAAATCTCTGCAGATCTCTTGCTACTGCTTGTACAGTAACACTGCGAGTGCCAAGAACTGAAGTTTGGCAGCAGTTGGTTTTATCTGGGGTGTGAATCAGGAGGAATGTGCAAAAGTAAGCAGGCAAAAAGAAGAAGAAAGGCAGCCTGGTTCTTATCAACAAGGTTTCTGAGGAGGCTCCTGGGAGCGGGCACACAGCCGTTTGGAGTAAGGAGTTGTGGTCAGGGTGATGTTGTGCTGTGTTTGCAGGTTTTCCGCTGCGTGGATCATGCTGCTGAACTGCTGCAGGGCCTCAACGAGCAGCGGCAGCACGGCCAGTTCTGCGATGTGGTCCTCGTGGCTGAAGACGAGCGCGTCCCTGCTCACCGAGCCCTGCTGGCGGTCTCCAGCCCGTATTTCAATGCTATGTTTACTTTGGGCATGAAGGAGGAGCACCAGCAGGAGGTATGCAGGCAACGCTGTGAAATTAGCTTATTTATGTACGTAAAATAATATATTAAAATCAATGTGGATCGTTTGTGGGAGCCTTTGTTTCTATCTTAGTTGTACTGAAGTTGTAAATGGAATAGAGTACACGCATGTGTTCTTCCTATCTGCAGGTGGAGCTGGTCGGGATGTCCTTCGTGGGTCTGAAGGCGGTGGTGGACTTCCTGTACAGCGGCGAGCTGCCACTGGACGGAGGAAACATTGACTATGTGCTGGAAGCTGCTCACCTCCTGCAGGTAAGAAACCAGCGAGCTGTTAGGTTTAACGATGCAGGCCAAGCGGCAGCTTCTGGGGCTGATGAGGGAAAGGGCCAGAAACTGCATTTCCTCTGATGGCCACTTGGGGCTGACCCTAAAAGTGAGTCAATCTCAGTAGACTCCCATATTAAAAAAATACTTTACAGCCTGTAGCATTCCAGCCGGACTTTATTCAGACGATGCACTCAATGATCATTACGGATGGACCATGGTGGGGTATTCCAACCCATTTATTCACAAATTGCCATAGACACATCGTAAGAGCTGTAATCATAACATAAAACAAATAAACATTCACGTGATATAACCACGTTTCTGTTATGCTAATCAATTCACAGAAAAGGCACAGGAGGTGCTAGCATCAGCCTGCTAGATCGCTCATAAACTTATTAACAATCAAGTAATACATTTACAAATTGTCCGAAATGTAAACAACAAGTACAACACACAAACATACCTGTTCGCCTTCCAGCTAGATGCTAATTTTAAGATGGATGGAAAACGATAACCTTCTCATTAATCCTTTCTGCGGCAAGCAGTTGCGGTACGATCTTCCTTCCCGGAAGTTGCCCGTTCCGAATTTCAAAATAAGAGTCTAATCTATATTATAAGGTATAATTCGTTCAGGGATTTAACTGTTTGAAAAATATCAAATAAACAAATAATCTGGGTCATTTACACAGCCTGATACAAAAATGGTTTTCATCTCCACGAGTAGTTTTCTCTTCATGAAAAATATACTTTTTTTTTATAGCTCATCAGTTTAGATACTGTTAAGGCTTAAAGTTAGAGGGGTGACCTGTTTGACTGAACTTCTCCTTTTGGAGCATTTAAACTAAATTATCAGGAAAATAATATTTCTAAGAATTTCTGTTTGTAGTGCGAGAGGTTTAATCACCTGTTAAAATCACCTGTTTAACTGTTAAAAATCAATCGGTGGTGATAATTAATGTTACCTATAAAAACTCATGCATTGTTCAGGTATGGCGAGCGGTGGATTTCTGCTGCCAGTTCCTGGAGACAGAGGTGAGCGAGGACAACTACCTGTACCTGCAGCAGCTGGCGCTGCTCTACAGCCTGGAGCGACTCAGCGCCTTCGTCGACCGCTTCATCCTCAAACATTTCTCCATGCTCTCTTTCACCCCGGACTTCCTGCGCGACATTCCTTTCCACAAACTCAACTCCTACCTCTCCAGTGGCCAGGTGAGACGTCCTCACCACGGCTCAGCAGACGAGCTGAAATCAAAAGCACGGTTAGCATTCTGAGAGCCCCTTTCTTCATCGCCAGGTTCAGCACGACAGCGAGCAGGCGCTTCTCCAGGCCTCGCTGCAGTGGCTCAGCCAGACGCCCGAGCGGACCTCCCACGCCAGGCAGCTCCTCTCCCACATTCGGTTCCCTCTGATCCCGGTGGCAGACCTCATAAGCAGGGTGCTTCCAGATGTGCGAGCTCTGCTGCCCGAGGAGGCCGGCTGTGAGGCCCTGGTGGAGGAGGCGCTGGCATACCACGCCAGGACCAGCGCTCAACCACTCCTGCAAACTGGACGCACCACAGTGAGGGGGGGAGTGGAGAGACTGCTGCTCATTGGAGGAGAGGTACAGAAGCTGATTTCATGATTTCACGTGAACATCATGTTAAACCTGCTTTAGATCTGATGTCTTCACACCTGACACTTACTGTGATATGATTTCAGTGTTAGTATTTTAATCTTGAGGCTCGTGTCTCCACTGCTGTCTGAAAAGTGAAACCTGGAAGCTTCACAGCTAGACTTCTCTTGTTTTTTGAGGTTTCCGAGCGTGGGGAGGAGCTTAGCGCTAGCGTTTCCTGTCTGGACGCTGAAACAGGGAGCTGGAAGGTGGAGACTGAGCTGCCGGCCCAGCGGAGTCACCACTGCCTGGCGGTCCTGGGAGGTTTCATCTTCACCGCCGGCGGGAGCTCGTCCAGGGACAACGGTGGAGATGCTGCCTGTAACCTTCTGTACAGATATGACCCCCGCCACAACCAGTGGACCAGGGTAGAGTGTAGAAAAGTCCCCTCCCTCCAGCCGCTTTGATAGTCTGAGGTCGTTTAGCAGCCCAGACTCACGAACAGCGTGTTTTTGCAGGGTGCCCCGATGAACCAGCGGCGAGTGGACTTCTACCTGGGGACCGTGGGAGAGTACCTGATCGCTGTGGGAGGGAGGAATGATACCGGAGCTTTGTCGTCAGTGGAGGTCTACTGCCCTGCTGAGGACTGCTGGTCCTACGTGGCAGGACTGCCCAGGTTACTGCTGACTCCGCCTCTTTGATTGAGGAATATCTCTGATAGCTGAGCTGTGAGGACTGCGTTTACACTCCACACATGTAAAAAACTGTTTGTGTTTTGCAGGCTTACTTACGGTCACGCTGGTACAGTCCACCGTGGCGTCGTCTACATCTCGGGCGGTCACAACTATCAGATCGGCCCATACCGCCGGGACGTCCTGAGCTACAATCCGTTGCGGGATGGCGATGTGTGGGTGGAACGCCAACCCATGTCTCTGGCCCGGGGCTGGCACTGCATGGCCTCCCTCGACAACCTAATCTATGCCATCGGAGGCAGCGATGACCACGAGGACACCTCGGAACGCTTCGACATCCTGCAGGTGGAGTCCTACGACCCACGCGGCGACCAGTGGACCAAGATTGCGCCGCTGCTGCTGCCCAACAGCGAGGCGGGGCTCGCTGTGTGGGCAGGTAGGATCTATGTTCTCGGGGGCTTCAGCTGGGAGAGCATGGCGTTCTCCAGAGCCACACAGGTATACGACCTAGACAAGGGGGCGTGGTCCAGAGGGCCCGACCTGCCCAAATGTATAGCAGGGGCTTCGGCATGCGTGTGCACCGTGAAGCCTCCGCCGCTGTCAGCCTCGCCACAGAAGCTCAGAAACCAGATGGAGGAGCCATTATTCTGTACTACGACTGACACGGTGACCAGCGGATCTGCGACTCTCCAGTCTGTTTACAGTGCAGGCAGGCCACAGAGTCAAGCTCAGCCACAATCCCAGCAGATCAGCTACTCTCAGTGGCAGCCAACACCTCCTCATGGTGCAGCTGACGCTTTTATTCACATGTAATAGATCTCTGAGTATGGATGCCGCTTTGCAACCCTCCTCCTTTTCTTGCTGCATCTGACACTTAATCAGTGTTGTATCTGTCGCTGCCACTGACTGTCTCATAACTGCATAGCTGTTTGGTGCTCTGTAGTTTCACTGAAATGTGGACTGTAAATAATGTGAGTGCAGCGTGTGGAACAAGACGTCAGTCGTCTGCTAATGAGCCTGATTTGTTGACATTTAAGCTGTCGACTACTAAAACAGATAAAACTGTGCACGGTTAAGGTTCTCTAGAAGTTGCGTATTTGGGAAGAATCACAGATTTGATATTCCTCTAAATACAGGAAACAGAACAAGCTGCATTTAAAAGAGGTTTTTTTTGTTCTTGCTTTTAGGATTAAACGTGAATGTTTTTAAAAGATGTCATCTCTGCCTTTGAAGCAAAAGCTGCATTCATTACTACTGCATTTTTCTGTGCATTTGTACATTTTTTCTTTAATTAAAAAAATATTAAAAGAGAAAAGCGAGCTTATCATTGGCTCTTATCATTCTAAACATTTCATCGTTATTAGTAAACAGGTCACTGATGGATGCTCCAGCGCTGGTCGTTGTGGCGTCTTCTCTCTCAGGTGAAGGGGTAGTACGGGTGAGACTTGATTCTGAGAGACAAAAGAGCAATCATTGGTTTGATGCTGGAGAATGCAGCTACAGCAGGAAGGTGGTTGACTTACTCTTCAATTTCACAGGCCTTCCACCCTCGGTTCAGTCCCTTCAGAGCACTCAAGTCTTCTTCAGTCAGACTGAAGTCAAAGATCTGCAGGGAAACCGACAACGAGGCTCTAAATATACTTACACTACACTCCTGAACTAAAACTATACAATTGCTGAGGCGCTGTCAACTGAAATTGAACTGGGGCCTTTTGTGTAATAACAATTTGTACCACACAATGGTGCAGTGAGTCAACCAGAGGGCCTGCCCCCTAGTAGTCGTTAAAAAGAGTGCAGGTTTAATACCCCCACCGAGAAAATCGTGGTAAGCATCTTTGTCTCACCAGAGCGACAATGGTTTCTTACCTTTGTGTTTTCAAGGATGTGGTGAGGCTTTTCACTCTTGGGGATGACTGCAACACCCTGCTGCACGTGGTACCTCAGCAGGACCTGAGACAAGTTCACTGTTACTAACTAATGAGTGCACACACACACACACACACACACACACACACACACACACACACACACACACACACACTTTATCAACCTGACCTGTGCAGGACTGCGTTTGTGCTTCTTGGCGATATCAGCAATGACTGGGTCCTCCAGCAGCTTATATGGATCTGTGTCTTCTCTTAACCTGTGACACGGAAGGATTTATGAAGACGGGTTAAGAGATGAACAAGGCCTCTGTTGGATGTAGCTATTAGCTACTGTTAGCTGCATATATCTAAAAGATGCAGACCACAAAGAGACATAAAGTTAGCTCTACCAAATGGAAAGAGACAAACTAATATGGGGACACAAAAGAACCACTGAGATAAAATATATCTGCAACCTAAGAGGACCACACCATTATAAATAGTGCATGTGTTTATGTTTGTGCCATGAAAACCATCCTAAATATCAGGGTATATTTACATCTATTTTTCCCTACCCCAATAGTCGAATTCCATAAAATAGTTTGCACTTCATCAAAATGAGATCCAGAGTCTGCACAGCAAGTTTGTTATGACCTTTACTTCCTATGAGTCAGTTTACTGGCCGAACTTTTAAAAATATTCAAAAAACATCTCTTTTTTATCTTCTCAGCCTTGGAGATATGTTATATATCTGTATATATAATAAAGGTTTCAAACATTTAAAGAACAAAAAGTTCTTCGTGTCTGTTTTTCTGATTTGGTTGTCGGTGTGGATCATGAGGCAAGACCTCGTACAGTTCTGAGGGTCTCCCAGGTGAACCGAAGGGGCTGTAGGCTGTCAAGGCAATGTTCTTGGATTTGCAGAACTCCATCATATCTGTCTGGATCAGGTAAGGATGTAGCTCCACCTGTGGACGACATGTAAACGTACAACAGTCGAGTCGAGACTCTAAAACGTTTCAGTAGCTCACAATTTCTCACTTTACAGAAAACACATGTGACATTATCACAAGAAAAAGAACACGACACCGGAAGAATCTGCACAATCATAATAATTCAGCTCCGGACTGATTCACCAATGCAGGAAAACAAAGTCCAACTTTGAGCAACTAAATTGAAAATAAAAAATGTTTACTAGTCCTTACTAAACACGGCTTTCCAAAACTCCGCACTGTCGTAAGAAGTCTGACAACTTAGTTCAGGACTGATAGTGACTGACTTAAACAGGACTGATTTCTGGAGAAACTGCAGTGGGATTGTTGCTGCTGCTGGACCTAGCCTGTTATTTGGTGGTTGGATTGGTCAGCTACAAAAGCTAATGGTGTTAGCAGCTGATACTGTTAAAAGGCTTTAAAGAGTGAAATAAACCTTTTTAGGCATCTTAGCGCTGATCAAATTGAATAACCCACTGATGACTTTTTTTCTTTTTTCAAAAATTCTACAAAACCTGAAGCACTTTTGTCTTCCATTAATAAAGTGGACAACCCTCCACTTTATTAATGGAAGTCCCTCAAGTCCCTCCTGTCACTGTCAGGAGGGACAGACTGTCTGAGAGGACAAGGCAGAAATTTCAATGCACCATATCTCCTTAACTTTAAATTGCTTCCATCTGTGTCATTAAAAGCAGTTAAAGTTACCACGATGACTACATTCTATATACAGCTAGCTGAAAAAATAAGAGATGTTAAATCATTTATTACCCCAAATTCTAGGAAAGTGTGTTACAACAGTGATGCAAAATACAAAAAAATGAAGAGCTCTGATTTAAAATAAATGCAGGGATTGTGATGTGAGGAGGCAAACAGCACTAATGAATTTCCTCAGCAGCAGTGTGCTACCACTGCAATGATCTGAACTTGTTCCTCACACACAAAGGACGAAGGCTATGTTGGTCTGGATAGGCTGAAAATGAAAGGAAATCCAAAACCACCAATCAGAGTGATCGATTTCAAATCAGCTATCAGTTAAGCAGCTGTTACACTTAGCAATTAATAACTGGCTCAAACAGACTGACAATGAATGGAAATGGTACTCATAAAATGTCTTACACAACCACGTGTGTGTGTGTGTGTGTAAATATTTAGACTTCTTTGTGAGGACAGAAAATTGGCTACTAAACTTGTGGGGACCAGCACTTTGGTCCCCACAAGTTTAGGCATTCATTTTTGATGGTTAGGGTAAGTGGCTAGGGAAAGCATAATGTCAATGAGATGTCCTCACTAAGATAATGAGTGTGTGTGTAACAGAGAGAGATTAACCTATGCCAAAACTGTAGAAGCACACATTGTGCAATCAAGCCTCGTGTTTCAGACCTTAAAGCTGTGTTTCTGTGATGAACCGTCTGAGGCTAGTTAGGTGCAAAAGCTTTGGAAAAGTTTTTTTTATCTATAACATATAATGGGATTGATTGTAACCGTAGAAACAAACCTCTGGGAACATGCTACATCTTTGTACAAACACCAGTTAATTACAAAATGAACTAGGAGATGTTGTAGAGCTCGTGGAAATGAGCCTTCACAGCTTCAACGAATGTAAATGGACGCATCTGCAGTACCTGATTGACCGCAGGGGGAACCCTGCACAGAGCGAGGAGTCTCTCCAGCTGCAGGATGCTGAAGTTGGACACACCGATGCTCTTTACTTTCCCCGAGGCTTGCAGTGCTTCCATCCCCTGCAAACACAAGACAAGTTTTTACAATTTAGTTTGCCTGAAAAAAATCAGCTTTTAATATCAGTTAGATCACAGATAAAAATGTAAAAGATTGTATAAGAATTTAGTTAAATGATGCATGGAGCTGTATTTATATGATTCACAGTTCACATCTGGGTCATAACTATTTACTTTGACCATTTTATTATCATTTATGGTTCATTTATCTGTCATTAACATTTACTCATATGATTATTCAGTGCTGTTATTCAAACAAGCATACAGTCTGTATCTTCTTACCCTCCACACATCTACGTAGTCTACGTCAGAGGTCACTATCTTTCCATCCTTCCTTGGGAAAAGCTCATCACCCATTTTCTGCAGTGAAAATAAAAGTCCATCAGACAGATGGCACATCTTTCCCCACAGTGCACCCTCTTTCAGTTCTAAGGCTTTCATTCCTTTTTTTGAGCAGTGTATTTTTAAATACAACCTGACATGAACAACAACTCCTGACACATTACACCGTGTCGATTTAACAAAACCTAAGCCAGGATGCAGAAGCAGAAAAACTGCATCCAACGTTTCAGAAGCTCGTTCAGCTGTTTTTAGCAGCAATGACCTTCCCAGATCGATGGGTAGTTCCTCCTCTAAGATCACTGCCGATATCTTTCCTCTTTGGCATTTGTTAAAACACACACCTGAATATTCTAGACCAGCACACTTCCACAACGTCTTCTTTTACAGAGGTGCTCATGCTTGCTGATTTGGTTACCAGCACCTAGCTCCTTGAATAAATTTGCCTAGAATGTCTTTATTGTTAAAGTGAGTTTAACAGATGGATACTGCACTGGAGTCTCTGCTTTTATCTCCAATTTGCCTGAATGGGAATTGAATACAAGGTTGACTCCTGAAGGTCGACTATTCCAGAAGATGAACTTATTCTTAAGTCAAAGCCAAATGAAGAATGGCAGAATAAAGGACAGTGAAACTGTCAGAATTGGAAATCTCTGCTCAACCTTTAGGCCAACAGGGAAATGCACAAGATAAAGATCCAGGTAGTCCAGTTGGAGATCACTTAGGGACTTATTGAGGCACACAGGGATGTCTTCTGGGGCATGATGGGTACACCACAGCTAGAAAGGTTAAAGCACAGCGAGATAAACATTAACATACAGCAGTGTGATGCATAAATCTGGGTACTTTGAAATAATAATTCAATTCATTTTTACAGACAAAGAAAACCCCAACAATCATATGACCCCCTATGAGCAAGTGCTTTGGCAAAAGTGGAAAGAAAAACTCCCTTTTAACAGGAAGAAACCTCCAGCAGAGCCAGGCTCAGGGAGGGGCGGGGCCATCTGCTGCAACTGGTTGGGGATAGAGGGGAGGAAGATGGGACAAAGACATGCTGTGGAAGAGAGCCGGAGATTAATAATAACTAATGAAATATCAACTCAATGTGGGTCCAAAAAAAAAGGTGACTGAAGAAGAAACACCCAGTGCATCATGGGAATCCCCCAGCAGTCCACACCTATTGCAGCATAACTAAGGGAGGATTCAGGGTCACCTGGTCCAGCCCTAACTATATGCTTTAGCAAAAAGAAAAGTTTGAAGCCTAATCTTGAAAGTAGAGATAGTGTCTGTCTCCCGAATCCAAACTGGAAGCTGGTTCCACAGAAGAGGGGCCTGAAAACTGAAGGCTCTGCCTCCCATTCTACTTTTAAATACTCTAGGAACAACAAGTAGGCCTGCAGTGTGAGAGCAAAGTGCTCTAATAGGGTGATATGGTACTACAAGGTCATTAAGATAAGATGGGGCCTGATTATTTAAGACCTTGTATGTGAGGGGCAGGATTTTGAATTCTGGTTGTAACAGGAAGCCAATGAAGGGGAAATATGCTCTCTCTTTCTAGTCCCTGTCAGGACTCTTGCTGCAGCATTTTGGATTAGCTGAAGGATTTTCAGGGAGTTTTTAGGACTTCCTGATAATAATGAATTACAGTCGTCCAGCCTGGAAGTGATAAATGCATGAACTAGTTTTTCAGCGTCACTCTGAGACAGGATATTTCTAACTTTAGAGATGTTGCACAAATGGAAGAAAGCAGTCTTACATATTTGTTTAATATGTGCGTTGAAGGACATTTCTGGTCAATCTAACAGACAAAAAGTAAAAGAAAAAGATTGGAAAGGACAAATAAGAAGTTCGGACTCTTCCTCCTCATGCTGTCCCACCTCTAACACCAACTACTTTCCCACCTTGCTGACAATAAACATATCTTCACGTCGGATGATACCCTGCTGCATCTTGGAGCGCAGAGCCTTTCCAATGTCCACCTCGTTTTGATAACTGTAGGCAGTATCTATGTGGCGGTATCCAGCCGCGATGCCAGTCTCTACTGCACCCTGGATCGAGGTCGGGGACAGATGAGAGGACTGCAACAAGCAGGACAGTAGAGTTAGTGTCTGCTAACCTTACTCTTGGTTCCTGGGCACATTTACACCAATGTAGAGAGAATTTGTGTGAGATAGATAATACAACAGATAATACAAAGTTGAGAGGGTCAAAATAACATCACAGATGTGCATGAAGTCAAGCAGCACCATTGGTGACAGTCATGCCAATGTCTGATAGGCCTCTTCTCAGCAGGTCACTAAACTGAACTTCTCTACTGTGCTTTTATGGGCATTATCTCACACATGATACAGCATGATACAGCATGCTAAGCGGTACAAACAAACCAAGAAGATTTGGCTTCAGTTTTGGTTTGGACTACTTTATTAGTTACTTAGCACCAATTGTCTCTACCCGTGCATTGCACCCCTGCTGTTTATCAGCTTGCTAACTAAGCATGTTAACCTTAGCTGATAACTTCTTGTTAAGATACTAATAATGGGTGACCTCACGCCACTATGTGTCAGATACAGCAGGATGGAGGATCTGGATTGCCGCTTGATAGCAAAGTGGTGTGCAAATGTACATCAGTTGCTGATAACCATAGTTAATGGTTCAAATCATATAATACAAGAATCATCAGTTTGCTTTGTAGAAATGTGTCTGTTGAGCCACTCGATGACGGCTGAGCTTGGTGTTTGCCTGATGTAAGGCTTTTTTGGATATGTGTTAAATCACATGTAAGATAAAACTTTGATCCAGTTACTGGCTTCATATGTAATTATAAAGTCCGAATATTAATTTCGACCTCTAAAGTTTTGAAACCACTGTTTGGATGCATGTGTCTTATTATTAAACTTGACTCTGCCACCTGAAAGAGTGATCGATGTCTGCCAATCACAATCAAGTCCTTCTAATCACCTCCCTTCACAAATATCAGTAAGTATGCCTTTAAATGCATGTATTAGAAACATATAGTAACTCTTAACAATACATGAGAAAACACAGTAACACTGAGCAACTTCTCAAAGTTAAATGCAGATGAAGAAATGGGGCTACCTTCCATGTCCCAAGACCCAGCAGTGGCATTCGAGAGCCGTCATTCAGCTCAACGTTCCTGGCCACCTGTGTGTCCTCCACAGAGTACATTTTCCCCACCGTAAGAGAAAAACAACAAAAAAGCCTCTCAGTTCACAACCGCGCACTGTCACAGCTTTCTTCTTCCTCTTTCCCCCTCAGAGTGCTTCTGCTGAGTCAGTGTCCTTCCTTTTTCTTTGCTGATTTTACTTTAGCTCATGTTTCTGACCTTCACTCACTTGGTTTTCTTCTCTTCCACCCACTCATTTCCTTTTCTTTCTGTGCTATCAGTCCACAAGTTAATTATTGGACAACATGCAGAGAACTTCACTAGAATGTAGTATTTATCTGTAAATAGTAAGTGAGGAGGAACGTGTTGCAAAGGTCACTTCTCCCATCGTGATAGCAATACAAACACGCATGCACACACATGCACACACGCATGCACACACATGCACCTTGCCTTAGTTGCACTAAAACAAATCCACTGTAATGTTCCCGCTTCCACATTAGATGGCGATCTTGTATCACCGGTTTGTGCAGCCACATTTTTTAAAATGAAAATTATATATATTTTACATTTCTTAAGTCATTTATTGTAAGTTCAGATTTTAATGTCATTTTGTATTTAATACAATTTGTCATCGTATTAATTCCTCACGTCTGTGCTTGTTTCTTAGTGGTTCTCTTATTTTAAAATTGCTTGTATTTTTTTTACATTTATAATTTCACTTTTGGATTAAACTGATTTTATGACACCAACTTCATGTTTTAATATAACTTTTGTTTTAATTTCATGATGTAATTTTTGTCTAATTACATTTGCTGTACCTGATATTTCAAACCCCAGTTTCAATCCTGTTTCTAATCCACCTCATAAAAGTTGTTTTTGGAAGAGTGGTCAACATTTTCAGAAACTGATATCGGAGCCTGTATGCTAAAGAGCCTATAGTAGTTTCAGAGGTGTACTTACGTTTACTCAGAATTTTAACACCTGACAGGTTTTTGGTGTTGTTCAAGTAAATCAAACAAGTAGGTTCTGTTTTAAAGAGGCTCAAATGTTTGCTTGTTTCAATATGATGAAAACATCTGCTGTGCTTTTTGTTTTTACATGACTGCACTCCGCATGGTTTCAGTTTGCTTTTTATGTTTTTCCTATTCAAAAACCAAAACCAAGCAATGCACCCAAGCTCTCATTTGGCATGCAATTCTAATTTCTAAATGCTTTTTGGTTTAGTCTAACCTGATAAGCACAAAAAAAGGAATTCTTTTTAAACGCATGTTCCCATATGGGGACGATGGGTTTATTTTATGGCGTAAAGCAATACAATCACCACAGTTTATGTATAAAACACTTTATCGAGCAGAATGAAGTTTAATGTGTAGATAAGCCAAAATATAAAAACTCTGTGTTTTACACTGAGGTGTATTACATCTTACAAGCATCAACAATAATTGGGCCAGTACTGGGCAAACGATGATGAAGATGGAGCTGAGAGGCAGGAGGAAAAGAGGAAGACCTTAGAAAAAGGTTCATGGAAGTAGTGAAGGTGAACATGCAGAGGGCTGGTGTGACAGAGGAGGATGCTGGGGTGAGATGAAAGCAGATGATGCACTGTGGCGACCCCTAAAGGGAGCCGGAAGAAGAAGAAAACTGCGTCCTTCTGCAGACTGTTTGTCTGATGCAGAAGGACACATTCGTGCATAGCCTTGAACACCAGGAACTATGTCCTGGTCTCACTAGATAACACTAACACTGAACTGTGCCTAAACAGTCTGAAGCGGTAGAGGGCGCTGTGTGGCCTACCCAGTAAAAACGAGGAAGAAGAGGCGGAACCAACGTAAAACGAAGAAGGGGCACCAGGGTAACCATGGCTAAAGTTGACAGCGGAGCGAAACCACTACAAAATGCCATGAAAATGGCCAAAGTGGCAATACAGCTGGACGGAGGGAACAGACACAAGGTCAGTGAGCCCCGGGGGCCGACAGCACGGACACAGCAGCGGGAAGCGGACAGGAAGCGGCGGGTGGGGATGTAAACAGAGGGAGGGGGCGGAGGCTGTCAGTGGTTAGCCACATAACGTTAACCTGCTCGTTAATCTATACATGCAAAACTACCTTTAATTAATAATGATATTTATTCACTGCCATCCCGAGACTCACCTCAGTGTTTTGTCCTATGAAAGCGCCTTTTTGCTGCATTGTCATCAAGTTTATTGTACACGCATAACACCAGTGTTTACGATGCGTTATAATAAAGAATATTTGCTCTAAAAACAGAGACAAACCTGGCATGTTATTCAAAACACGTCGAGCTAAAATATGCAGAGGAAACAAACACTCTTCCGTGGATTGTGGTTTCTTTTTCGTTTTCCCATCACACTGTGACCACCTGCGTGTGGCCCCCTGACCCGTCGAGTAGACCCTGAAGCTGGTCTGCACTCTGGTGTCTGCACCAAGATGTTTACAACAGATCTTTTAAGTCCTGTAAGCTCTTCGGTGGGACCTCCGTGGATCAGCCTTGTTTGTTCACATTCCACAGATGCTCCCATCTCAAGTCAACACTTTAAACTCGTTGTTTTGCTCCAAATCATTGCTGAACAGTTTCTGCTTTGTGACAGGGCGCATTGTCCTGCTGAAAGAAGCTCCAGCCATCAGAGAGTCTGTAGGGCAGGGGAGTCCAACTCCAGGCCTCAAGGGCCGGTGTCCTGCAGGTTTTAGATCTCACCCTGGGTCAACACACCTGAATCAAATGATTAGTTCATTACCAGGCCTCTGGAAAACCTCAAGACATGTTGAGGAGGTCATTTAGCCATTTGAATCAGCTGTGTTGGATCAAGGACACATCTAAAACCTGCAGGACACTGCCCTCGAGGCCTGGCATTCCCCATCCCTGGTCTACATGATCTGCAACCGTGCTCATGTAGGCAGTACCTGTCAAAGTAACATCCATGTGGATGGCAGGATCCAAGGTTTCCCAGCAGAACAGGCCAGCTGTCACTCACGCATGCATCAGTGAGCCTTGGCCACCCATCACCCTGTCGCTGTTCCTTCCTTGGACCACTTTGATAGATACTGTCCCCCCGATCCCTGCAGACCAGGAACACCCCACAACAGCTTATTTGTTTTTAAATTTTAAAAATCAGAGAGCTGCTCTGGGTCACAATTTGGCCCTTCGCTCAAATCTTCACATTTGCCCATTTTTCCTGCTTCTAACGTCACCTTTAAGGACGAAATGTTCACTTGCTCTGTAATATATCCCACCCACTAACACGTTCTTTGATGAAGAGATAATTATTCACTTCACCTGTCGGTGTTTATAAAGTTGTGATTGATCAGCGTATATATTTTCCTCTATGGTGATGTTCTCAAACTCGGGTCCTTTACAGGAAGCCTGCGAGTTTGAGGGCTCTGCGCAGTATCTAATATGTTCCTTGGAGTCTGTTTGTGTGCATGTGATATATTTTTCTATTGGCAGAACAAAATAAACGCTGTTGTTTATAAGTTTTGATTGGTTGGGTTGAGGTGACCCCTGACCATAGCTGGCAGTGACCTAATCTGTAGGCACTGTCACCTGTCTGTCTCTGTCCTGGTGCACAGAAACAGTAGGTGTGAATTTAGACCCAGGGCATCCTTTGTACTGGTTAAAGTGCAACTATGTTTCCTCTAAAAACAGATTATCCTCAGCACCACATGTAACCAGTCCAAAGCTGAACTGCTTTCCTGAGTTACAAAACTCTTTCTTTATCAAAGTTGGAGGGACTAAAAACTGCAACTAATGTGTTAATGCGATGCATGCCAGTGTGTGAGGTTATCAGCAGCCTGTGTACTTATAACAACTGATGGCCTGTTTGTGGTCTCTCTGCAGGAAGCTTACTGTGAATACCTCCGGACCATCCACTACATATCACATGCACTTTTGGAGGAAGCTGTTTCACAGAGTAAGAGCTGAAGGAAATGTGTGACTGATGATGAAGGAGCATAATGGTATAAGGTCTCTGCTCAGTTTACCTGTTAGTGTGCGAACAGTCCAGTGCTTGTTAAAGCAGACACTGAACACGGAACATGAACCAGTTTACAAGCAGAACTACCCTCCTGACCGTTTCCTCTGTTCCTTTAATACCTTACGAGAAGCAACCTCTGACAATACAGACGTACCGAAAGTTCCTGGAGCAGTGCTTCCTCGAGTGAGTCAGGCCCACAACTTCAGAGCAGGAAAAAGCATTGCTCACTTCCTGATCCAAAAATCAGTGCTGTTTGTTATTATCAAAGAATTCCCGCAGTCCCGCACTTCAGAACTCTTTAAAATGTTTGTATAGCAGTGGACTCATAAGGTGCACAACATGTGAAAGTGGCAGCTCATTCAGAGTATGAAATGTAACTGCATTAATGTTTCTTAAAGGTACTACATCTTTGATGCTCAAAAATGGAACAAAAATGTTTCAGCATTTGTTATTCATGGATACATCCGAGCAGTTTCATCGCTGTGCGATAGTCCAGATTTAATAGGGGACTATAGGGCTACAGCCCAAAAATGTACAACATGAAAATGGCCAATAATTGAATCTTTTATATGGAGTCTGTTGGTAAATCATATCCTGTGGCCGCCACAGTTACCAAAGCTCTACTCGGTTTAACATCTGTGGGTTTAAAGCTGATTGTTTTTATGAGGCAGATAGGCTCATCTGTTCATCATCTCAGGCTACGTCCACATGAAAACGGCGTTTTCGATCACTGAAAACGGAGATTTTTAAAAACTCCTGCCAGGGTAGAGATTCTCAAAAAACTCTGTTTTTGTGTTTACATGTGGACGCAGAAAACGGAGATTTACTCACGCAAGCTCAAAGGTGTGCACCTTGTTTGACGTGACGCTGTGCGCCATGTTATTGTTTACATGAGATGAATTTCTACAATGAGACAAAAAACTGTTGCTGTTACTCTGTGTGCAGTTTTTACACGCTTACACATGCAGTTACTGTCCATCCATTCAGAAAGGCAGAGGCGTCGTCAGTTTTGAATAAATTAACAAAAAATGTAATTAAATTTATGCATGCTGTATGCATTTAGTTCATTCCCAAGTTGTGAGTCTACACCAGCCGAAATCCTGTTTCTGGTTATTAACATTTGAAATGATGAAGGTACTTGAAAAGTAACACAAAATTAGCTGCCTTTCCAGAAAAACACAAAGCTTTTGTCCTGAAGGTTTGCATAAAACCCTGTTTACTCTTTCCCTCCCAGGCTTCTAGACTGGCCAACATTTCTGCACGGCTAGGATTCGGCACGTTCTTGACAACGTTTGACTGCGTTTTTGGCGTTTACATGTGGACGGAGATATTTTTCCAAACTGCA